TTTTTTTTTCGACCAAAGTACTACAATTTTGTTACCGAATTGACAGTCGTCGCCACCATAGGGTTTGTTGCAATGGCAACGACCGTTGTTGCATTTTCCTCTATTATTACAAGTATTACCAGGTGCCAGAAGTCCCCCTTTAAGGACAAAAATAAATAACATCAAATGTATTTTGTTAGATTTAGTTGTGTGATTTTTGCATCGATATTTATTAAGAAATAAACGATAGCTTGAAACTGTTTACTGGCGTCATTAATAAAGCGTTCGGGATGGTTGGGAGAACACGAGAAAAGATCTGTTAATCACGATTCACCTTTTCTCGTGTTCTCCCAATCTTGCTAATAAGCGGTTTATTTCGCCAGTAAAACACTTCAAGCTATCTTTTATTGTTTTTATATTATAGCGGAAAATAAAAGAAGGAAAAACATACATAGTTTTAGACTCAAAARTCTTTCAAATTAGCAAGCTGATTTACTGGAGAAGAAAAACCATACCTGTTCTCATGGAATCCGCCAATCGGCGTGCGCGTTAGAAGTGAGCTATAATATAAATTTATGATAAAAACTGACCTTTTCTGCAAGCCGTAGTAAAGGCAATGGATGCCAATAACATCACAACCAAGAGGACTGCCGCTTTCATCGTCAAAGTGTTAAATGCGTACTTGTGCAAGGTTGCGCAAGTTTTATTGAAAAATAACAAGAAAGCAACGTTTGAAAAGAGAAGCAACACCTAGAGAGATGGTCTACTCATGTAATTATGTCCATGTTGGAATCTTTGTACAACATCTATTGTGAAATAATGTAATTTGTAAGATATTTTAATAAAGAATGCAAGAAGGAAACAACAGCGCYAAACATCCAGAGCTAGCAGGGACATTAATTACGACTTTTGTTGCTCGTTGAGATGAGAAATCTCCTTTCACATACATCTAACTGTGACAATTCAAATAACCATTCAAGGAAAAKTGAAGCTTTTCGATTCATTGCCCAATTATTGCAAATGGGCTAGATTAAGGCCTACAATTGCCGCTTTTCTTGAATTATAGCTCATTTAAAATGCTGAAAACAGTCGAAAACTAATTGGAGCATTGATGCTTGTACAATTGTACAAAAAATAGATTGACGGACTCTATTTTCAGAAAAAGTAACTCTTACAATCCACTCCCCTRACCCTTTAAATGCCAATATCCCAGTAAACTTGCTAATGTATACGACAAAACCATCAAAAAATTGCTACATTGATATGGAAGAGAGCACGRGGAGAATAATTATGAARAGAAGAATAAGAAAARGCTATGGGCAGTTCATTCGATGMTCAAAAGTATTTTGTAAATGGATATCAGGGTAGGGAATTGACCGTGGTGACATCAGCCGTCCTTTTCAGTGTCAGAAGATCAAGAAGACATTGAATTCACAATTAATAAGRCAATTGTTAGTTTTTTAATGATTTTATTGCGTATCGCTGGTAGAACATAACTTGAGTTTAATGCAATTATATCCTAATGGATTGTTTTTTGTATGGAATCACAGATTGTAGTTTGTGCCTGTTTTATAATATTCTTGCGAGCTTTCTAAGCTTTCAAAATTAAGCACGAATTATTTAAGCAATAAACAAAAACATTTTCGTGCGTTCCTGGTGAAATAAACCAGGCAGGATTTTGGAAAAACACGAAAAAACCGTAAAAATTTTCCGGCTTCAGACTTTTGAGTGTTTTCCTAATATCCCATGTGGTTTATTTCACCAGAAACGCACGAAAATGTGTTGTTTTTTGCTTTTATATTATAGCATTTTCGCATCCGTGGTTTTACCGGTGAAATAAACAATAACATTTGACCAATAAGAGAGCGCGTAATATGATAGTTATACTGAACAATAACATTCGACCAGTCCCAGAGAGCGCGTACTATGATAGTGGTTCATTTTCTTTTTTTACCCATATCTTTCCATGCCTTTTGATTCTGGAAATAAAAGAAATAAAAAAAGGATTAAATAATTTTGTTATATATCAAGTGTCAAAGTTTCCTAGTATCTTATTGGTCGAGAATGTACCACGTGAAAGTCACAAAATTTTACTGTTTCCCGRCAACTGTCCACCAGCGGTCAGTAATATGTTGTGGACCGTCAATAAGTACAAAGTCGCAGAAAAACAATCTTCAGTGTCGTGAAAATGTCACATTTAAGGACAGTGCATTCCAAAATTGTTATCAAACATTTAATTTCGACTACAAATAGTTGTAGTATTCATATAGACATTTTTCTATTTGTATTGTCATTTTTCAGTCATTTTATCAAAATCTTTAATAAAAACACTTCATTTATTTACTTTTTTTGCTCTTTTTTGACACTTGATATGATAATAAAGCACTTACTTAATGGAAACCTCGGGAAAGTATGTTTTGCGGTCCCTCGACCGCTGATGTTTCCACAAAACATACTGTTTCCCTCGGTTCCATTAAATAGGTGTTAAATGTCACTTGAGTGAGAAAAAAGCTTTCTGAATACATCATGTATAGCTATGACTAACCAATCGTTAGAGCCCAAGACTGAGATAATTCAAGAGAAAAGTGCTTTGAAATCTCCATCAATGCCGGAGATATAAACTGAAATAATTTTAAAACAGTCAAAAGCTTTTTTAAAGAGCTTAAAAGACAGATAGTTTTTTTTTTTTTTTTTTTTCACCCTTTTTGAGCATTTGGTGGAATTATAACCACTTCATATCATCGAAAATCGATTTTTCTATTTTTCTAATGTTTAAATTATAGTAGATTAAAAAAATGAGAAAACCTAATTAGTCAGCTACATAGATCCTTACTTCGTTGCCACTTTACTGGCCCTTGTTGTTTCGTTGGCCTAATTGGAGATGGACTAGGAGGTGGCCTGGGTACTTCCTTGCTGCCTTTAGTTAGTGGMGGTGCTACTTGAGATGAGTGTATCAATTTTGGATTTTGATGCTGTTTTCCCTGTTTAACCTGCTGCGGTCGTTGTTGCTGCTGCTGTTGCTGCTGCAAGGCTGGTAACGCCATTGATGTTTGTGGTTGCAGTAATAACAGGTACTGCTTTTGTTGTTTTTGTCCTGGAGGATACGTCAGGCCATGAAACGGCTGCTTGTCTTTGCTTGTTTCAACTTCCTTGAACTTGCTCTGTTTCTGTTGCCACCGATTATTTTTTTTGAAACATCCCCTGCGTGGTCGACATCTTATTATAGAATAACTTTTTGAAGATTCTGCTCCGTTGTAAGTTTTAAATGTTATCAAGCCTTTTTTTTGTTCCACGCGTTCTTGTTTTCCATCACTTTCAGCATTATCATGCCTGTTGTTTCCACGTTCACTTGGGCTTTTTTCTTTGCCTTTCTTTGCTATCTCTTCGAAATATAAAGAACATGATTAACGCCTCGAGTATTTTCAGTATCAATCATCCAGTTTTGTACAGTTTAGAAACATATTTGCTTGTAGACCTTTTTGGCAATACTCTCAGAGATTTTGTTAAAGATTAGTAAGTTTCAACATACCTTGATGAATAGGTGAAGCCTCAACATAGAAAACTAAGAAGCAGAAAGCTATAATACAAAGCCCAACACTGGATTTCATGATTCTTTTAGTGTTTAGGACAAATACAAGTCGCTTCCTATATCCTTTAATCTAGAAAAAAATGACTCTCTTTCTAGCTGCAATCAAGTTAACAAATTGCGCACGATTTTGAGTTGTATGTCCTTTTATTGACACACTGTTGACGTCATAAAAGACCGACGAGCGCAGCAGTGTGGTAAACAAGATTGATATAATAATTGCTTGTTTCTCTAATAAGAGGGGCGTGCCGATTCGGTAAATGTTAACGATGAACACATTTAACTGTAGGAGTCCAATTAAAATTAACAGTGTTAAATGTAAAGAAAACAGTTTTTTCTTGTTCTTTTGCTTCATTGTCTTCAAAAAAAAATTAAAGTTGCAAAAACAATCAATGCAGGTGTTTTCATTGAAATTGGACATTTGGAAATCAGAATATGGGCTTAGAAGGTTTTAGCTTTATAACCTTAATTAATTTTCATCCATTACATTTAACTGAGGGTCATCCATATYTTCTCATGTCCTTGCGGCGGCGCTTCCCTTAAAAAAGGACATAAGCCAATAAGGACTTCCATGACATTAGAAACAACATAATCCAAAATCGTTGACTATACACTGGAAAAAATTTACATCATTTTGAACACTTACATCATATATACATCAAATTTACAACCTTTATGGCGCGCGATTTTTTCCAGTGATATCCGAATTTCTCAATTCCCCTGTGAAAGAAAAGCGCATATATTAAGCATTAAGGAGTAAGGTTGTTTTTTTAAAAAAGCAGGAAGGAACAAGAGGATCATCAAGAGAAATAACAAATTACACAGGAGATGAAGAAGAAGTCACATGAGATAAAGTTGAAATACAACAACACTTCATCATTTGACCAACCCCCAAACTTTAAAGATCCTCAGCCCCATGACAAAAGGAAAAGATATCAAAAGCTAGTAAGACAAAACTGAAAGCTCTCATTTTTCGCTTAAATAAGCTAATAATTCTCACATCAGCTTATAAAGKAATGTCATTGCCCTTTGCATTGCTCATATGCAAATTTTGAATGACAGGGATCCTTACAAAATTGATGAACGAAAATGCTCAAAAGATTCTTCATAACAGAACAAGCAACAAGTCTAGCTCCAAGCCATCTTAAAACGTAACGAGACCTTACTGAGTATTTCCTTCATCTGCTGTATGCGTGTAACTATCATCTTTTTAAAACAAAACACCTTTGTGCAAATATAGCTGTACAGCAGAAAACAAATTGAGTTTTTTGCTCACCTGTGCCGCACTGCAGGGGTTGKGCGCCTTTCCAAAACATTCATATCCTCGCTGTTGTTGTGGCCAAAATGCAATTGCAAGTTGTTGTTTTTCAAAAACACATTCGCGATAGAACAATAGGGCAAACTTTGTTACAAATAAGAAAAACAATCTTGAATATTAGGCACGCATAAGGTCAATGTCAAGGACGGGACCAAGGTCAT